TAATGAAAAAAAAGAGAGAGCCCTGGTTCTGCTCCCATGAACCCAGGTCCCTCCTGCAAGCCCCTCTTCCTGTACCTGTAGCCAGAATAAAGTCTTGGTATATGTACCAGGGATAGGAAACAGAGCAGAACTGAAGCAAAGATGCTTAGAAGATTTTTTTTTTTTTTGCTTCAAGTCTGCAATGTATGAGGGAATGTTGTAGAAGTGGGTAAAATCACAGAATCAGGATTCTTGTAAATCAGAAGAGATCTTAGAGACTCCCTGGTATTTTCTTGTTTTCAGATAACAACAGTAAGGCCCAGAAAAAATGGTTTGGCCAAAGCTTTGCAGTGCATTCACAGAGCCCACTGCTTCCTTGCACACTCTTATTATTGTTATGGGTGAAATAGAAACAGAAATTACTGCCCAGAACCTTTGGCATGTATCTGACAGGCCTGTGTGGCCATGAGCAACGGCGCTTCCAGGCTTCAGTCTTTATCATGAACTTCATCATCTTGCCTCTGCCTTCTGGGGAAAACAGCTTTTCCTGAAAGGAGCTGTTCATGATTATTCTTACAGCATCCTTTTCTTGGTGTGGATGGCTCTTAGAAACAAGTTGCATAGAAAATGCCCTGACTGCAGGTGAAACAGCAGGTGTATTACTCAAGCACTTCCCCTATGCAAAGCGGTTTCCTGGGTGGCATGGAGACACAGAGACACACTAATGCATGCACTACATGAAGTAAAAGGATCCTCTGCAGTCAAAGTTGTCTTTTTATTTTTCTTCAAAGTGCTTGGAGCATCCACTTCCCACTAACACTTATTTTTGGTGGGTCACACACCATGTATGTGTGTAAAATGGGTATATAGTATGGAGTCCCCTTACTTACACACTGTTGTCACTTTATATGGTAAAAATAGTAATATGTAGTCAAGTCCAGACTTACAAGCAGTTTAATACATGCAGCTTTGCTTTTAAAAAATTGTTTAACAAATAGTTTAAATATTTAATGGTTAGGGAATGGTGAAGTAAATCATAGTAGAGACTCACTTATAACAAAAAAGAAGGCAATAATTATGAAGATATAAAAAAGGCTTTTTATGTAATAATAGTAAGTGAAAGCAAATTTTATAAAGGCTACAATTAGGTCAAACATGTATGCATAAAAAACTGGAAGAAATGTTAAGAAAATTTTCAAAAAAGGTAAAATGATGACTCTCATACAGGTATAAAAATGAATGCATATTAAAGATTTTATTTAAATCATTCAGTGAGGGAACCAGCCAGATAGTCAGATGGTCCTGCTAGTCTAAAAAAAGCACAATTTTCTGAGAAAAGGAATGTTGAAAGGAATTGCAAATAGAGGCAAAACAGATTTTTCCGCAAAGAAAGGAGAAAAACAATCAAACCTCTATCAGACCAGACAGAAATTGCTTGTCTGTCAATTACTTGCAATTTACTGAGTTGTAAAATAATTCCCATCTAATCAATCCAAATCATCTATTTCAATTCAAAACAGACAAATTTTTCTCTATAAACAATGGTCTTGGAAACATGGATTGGATTATGTAATTTTTTTTTGTTCACTTAATATGATTTTTAAAAACAAAGATATCCCTCCCAAATTTTTAAAGAGGCCATAAGCAAATCACCTTTAAATATCAACATTTCCTGAAGTGTTTACTAGGTGATTTGGTTTGCTGGCACATTTTAGAAACACATGGTAGACATGAGGTATACCTGGCTCCTGATTCTCCTGAAATTTATAAAATACCATACTTGATCTGCATACAGTAAAAACCCAATGGTATCTCAGTTTAATTAGTAGTCTCCTTCCTCCCACTGATTATTCAATCCTTCTCTTTCTCAACCTGGGCATAGGAACTATCTATACTTTGTAAGTCAACAAATTGCAGAAACTTAGGTGATTACAGAGACAGCAAGCTTCAGGGATAAAATTCCACTGACCCTCTTTTTCCCTGGAGTTGAAAGTTCAAAGGCCAGAGTCATTGCTGCTGGACAGGACTGGGCTGGGCTGGGGCTGAGGGCAAAGGTGAAAATAAGTAGCAGCTGCTGCTTGTATACCTTCTCCTAGGCTACCTCCTCCTTCGTCCCATAGTCCACAGCTCTGTACCCAGATGCTATAGATCTGCACTAGCCAGGACAGTGACCACATATGTCCATTTAAATTTAATTTAAAAATCCAGTTCCCAGTTGCAAGAGCATTTCAAGTTCTCGAGAGCCACATGTGGTGACAAGACCAGACAGTCCAGATATTGACCATTTCCATCACCGCAGAGAATTCTATTGGACAGCATTGCTGTAGATGACTCCTTCTCTGCACCTCCCATTTCTCTGCCATCTCTTTTTCTGCTTGCTAAGCTTGATGCAAATAAATCAAATGTCACCTTTGACAAAGACCCTTTCTTTGACCAAATTTTCGTTAGGCTCCATTGAGCCCTTTCTCAACCAGGCCTCAGCCTTGGGCCTCCACGTCTGTCCCTGCCAAGTCTAGTTTTAGCAAAAATCCTAAATCAGTTTAGAGAGAATCCTCCTCCCTTGTTATCTGCTCAATTCCTAGTCTAACTTACGCAAGAATCCTATTAAGTCAGTTTAGCAAGAATCCCCCCCACCCTTGGTATCACCTGTTAGTAATTTCCCATCAATTGACCTCTTCATTCTACTTGATGGCTATAAATCCCCACTTGTCCTTGTATTTGGAGTTGAATACAATCTCTCCCCACTATTGTAATATTCCTTTGCAATAGTCCTGGATAAAGTCCTTCTTACCATTTTAACAGGCTTCAGAATAATTGTTTTTTTAACACCTCTTTTATGAAACTTCTTCCTTGCCCCTAGGAAAAAATAATAATTCCTGTGCAATTTTAGCACTGTGTAAATTCCTGTTCTGAAGCCAGTGTCATGTGGTACTATACTCATTTATGCATTTGTCTTCCCTTATGGATTACTGAGTTCTCCTGAAAAGTACTGTGAGTGTGGTGATTTAGAGTTCAGTCACTTGAGTCAGAATGCTAGGTTCAAAGCTGTCTCCTGGCATTTACTAGCTATGTGAGCTTGGATGACTACATTTATATCTCAAAGCCTCAGTTTTTTTATTTGTAAAGAAGGGATAATAAAAGTGCTCCCCCTGTAAGGATTAAATAAGAAAATCCACTGTGTGAGGCACAGGGTAACTACTCTCACCCCCAGTCTTTCTTTGACTCCATACCTAGCAGTGAAGAGTGGAAGATTTCCTCTGTAGGTCTGAATGTCAATTTTCTCTTCTTCAATATCCAATTATAAAGGCTTGCAGCTTTCCCTTGACATTTCTATTATATATAAATCAGACTAATTAATATATTTTAAAAATACTATGATATCAAAGTTAGCTCTCAAAGTATTGAAAAATGCCCTGTTCATAAGACAAAATTAAGTTTATTCTTACCACAGTAAGGAACAACAGTACCTTGACAGAGTTTTAGTAGTGACTAAGAGGCAGCAGGACAAATAATGGTATTTACTGAAACTCTGAAGTTTGGTTTGGGCGGGTAGTCTTTCAATTCAGGGTGCACAAGATGATTAGGATTGGGTAAGGATCATGATAGTTTGGAATTGATGGACACAAGCAAGGATTTCAGGCCAAGAGTTCTGAGTCTTGGAGTGTACATATCTGTCATATGATGCTTTCTATTGAAGAGTTGATAGTTCTTTTAGGAAATTCCTAAAGTAAACAACAGATTTATTTTTAACTTCCCTGCAATAGTTGTGTCAATATGGACAGTAAATTGCATGGATGCAGGAGGGGTCAGTTCTCAGTACTTTTTAAAAAGCTGGTAAGTAATATGAAGGGAAATATATCCAGGATACTGAGGGAACTTATCCCTGTAGACAGAGTTTAAAATGGAAGAGCATTATTTTGGTAACTCAGAATGACTTGTATTTTCACCAGAAGCACATTGCTTGGTTTACTCATCATTTCCCACTACCCATTCATCTCAGTTGAATGCCACCAGTCCTAATTCTGAGAAGGCAGAATTAGGAATGCTCATTCTCCTGCCTGAAACTTAAAGTGGCCTTAGGGGCATAAATTCCTAATAGAAAAGTTTCTTTCCAGATTTTGACAAATGCTACTTATTAGAGAAGGACACATCTGTACTTAACTTCCATAGATAGCATCTGCAATGTGAAAGAATTATTCTGCCATTTGTTAAAACAATGAGAGATTTTATCCAAGACTATTACAATAGAGACATTACAATCGGGAGGAGAGACTTTTCAACTCCAAACACAAGAAGTGGATGAGAATCAAGGATAGGGGGAAGAATTCTTGCTAAACCGACTTAAGAGGATTCTTGCTGAAGGTAGGCCAGAAACTGATCAGATAGCTATCAAAGGTGGGGAATTCTCCCTAACCTCACTTAGTAGAAGTCTTACTGAATGTATGGCAGTTAGGAAGATTGCCACCTTGACAGTTAACGCTGAAGAATGATTTCCTTATACAAAGAGAAGGATGAAACACAGAAACTGGGGCACCCAGGGAGATGGCTGGGTCTCCCTTAGGGGCAGGTGGGAGGCATAATTGTCAAAGGGAGTCTTATCTATAAGACTCAGTGAAGCGTTACGTGGGGCAGGAGAAAAATGACGACTTCTCAATGGCCCTTTCTTGTTCAAGGCTGAAAGAAATAAAAAAAATTTTAAAGTTAAGTAAACAAACAAAAATATAAACAAAAAAATTAAAAATAAAGGTTAAGTAAACAACTCGCTCTAAGGGAAGAAACAGGCTCGCGGGAGTGAGATCGCTGTTCCGGAGTGGGAAAAGCCCTGGAACCCATTCACAGCACTACAAGTCCCAGAAAGCACCGCGGTGAGGGTGGGGCTGGCCGGCCATTAGGGTGTGTGGGCGGGGCCAGACGGGATCCTCACTCTCTCGGGTTCTTAGTCCCGCCCCTGCTCTCTTCTCTCCCCTGTTGCTGTTGCGCCGTCGCCGGCTGCTGCCCCTGGTGAGTCCCTGGAGAGAAGGAGGGCAGTTTGGGCAGTTGGACCCTCGGATTCCCCAAATTAAGACTTCCAGTCCCGAGAAAAGGCCATAGGCAGATAGAAGTGCAGCCGGTTTCGTTTTTCACCTCCTTCCATTTTTTAATGTGACAGTAAGTGGGAGTGGCGTCATGGAGCCCTAGAGCTCCTTCCGCGGCCTTGGTGGGTTGAGGGGCAGTTTTCTCCCGGTCTTAAGTGCTTGTGGCCGGGTGGGAGGCTGCTCGCGCAGAAGGGGCCCTACTGACGGAACTCAGGGGCTTGACGTCACGGCGTCATGCCTCCTGCCCGCGGGCGGACGTCGTGGTGGTTCTTAATCCCTGCCCTTGACGTCATCGCAATTTGCGTTGAGGCTGAGGCCGGGCACTGCCCAGACACCCTAGGCAGGTTTCCTCTCGCTTGAGCCTCGGTTTCCTTGTCTGTGAGTAGGCGTGATCCCTGAGGACCTTTCCTTCAGATGAGGCCTTCTGTAATTGGAGAAGGCGGTCTAGGCAGCCGAGAAGAAACAGCAGTGACCTGCTTCTTTACAGTTCATCTCCCGTAGCCGCTCCCCAACGCCAGCAACAGCCAGTTTAGTTAGGAAGCTAATCTGCCCACTCATATTGTGATTTCCAACCCCTTCTGGCCATGTTAACTTTTTCTAACACTTGGTTCTTTGCTCCTGACGCAAGCCAACAAGTGACTGTGGTTGGAGCTGAGTAGTATAAATATGGAATCTGTGTAACTTCTCCATTGTTGCAAAAACCATTTAAAGCGAAGGACTTCTCATGCCGTCGGTCTTTGCTTATGTAGAGCACATAATTAAGGAATAGCCAGGTGACTCACTTTCAGAGATATTTGCAGAGGGCCTCTACCTGAAACTCTACCCTCTAGCAGATATGACAGCTGCGGTGTGGAAAGGACCCTGATAAAGGTAGTAAGAGTTGCCTAGCACCAGCAAGTCGTATTGTCTTTCCAGTCAGATAGTATATCTAGGACTCTAATTTAACATTTTGATTGTGCTTATTGATATAACACCATGCTTCCTTATTTTCTTAGATGAAAAGAGCGATAGTTAAAATGAACTTTTTCACTTCCTTTTTCTTTCATCTAAGATCATCACTATAGCTGTAGAGTTTCTTAGAGACTTTTTGTTCTGACCTATGCATTCTACTGATGAGTAGCTGAGGCCTAAAAGGAGGTAGTGTGACTTGGCTGAGATCTCAGAGCTATCTCGTGGCAGAACTCAGACAGGAACCCAAATCCCTGGGCTCCTTGCCCAGTCCCCTTTCCACTACATTTCAAACACTGTCACAACCCATGTCCCTTCAGAGGTTAGCCTAGTCACCCCTTTCAAGAAAAACATGTAAAATCTGAGTAAAGTAAAATGGAGATTTAGTACACAGCTTTGAACTTTCCAGTTTTTTCTGGTTTGCCTGCTTGTCGTCCCAGAACTCTTACTGTCCTTCCCTGGTTCTGCTGGCACTGTGGTGGTGTGGGATGTGGGATGATGGTCTGCTTAGAACAAGCTGGGTGGCCAAATAATTGGTAATGAGTTGTATTAAAAGCTTTCTGGGGTATAACGTTTTTCTAAGGCGCTCAGATTTTAGGCAAGGAACTAGAATGAACTTGGAAAATTTGAATTAGAGCAAGTGGCTCAGTAATTTGTGGACGAGTGACCATGTCTTGGGCCCGCTGTGCCCCCATCATGTCCATGTCAGTGTTCTCTTGGGGCAGTACTGTGTCAGCATCTCCTCCAAGGCCACGGAGGAATGGGATTCCAATCAGGTCATCCATTTCACTTATTGCTAATAGTTTAGAAAGTTAAGTAAGCAGAAGGATGAAGGAATTATATTAAATGTGAATTTGGTTTTTACTTTGTTTTTACTGATTCCAAATGAAGAATTGATGTACATTTCTCTCTTGGCTGTGGAAGCATTTGGTTTCCTTCTGCAAATGAAACCAGAGTAACTACCTATCGCCTTCATTTCTCTTAAATGTGCCCACTGGTATAATGCTGATGTAAAAATGCTGGGCATTCTTTTAAGGTAGAATTTGTCATTTTTAATAAGGTTATTTCTTCGTGGTTCAGCATACATGAGGAAAAATCTTTAGGAAAATTGGTGACTTGATTTGGTTGAAGATTTACATTGCTAGAATCTGAACCAGGAAGCTTTACATGTTATGATGTTTTAAAATTTTTCTGCTAAAAAGCATTTTAGTGTAGTCTATAGACTTAGAAATTATCAGAAAGAGCAGAAGTAGAATTGGCTGTTGTTCCTTTCTTCAGGAGAACATAAGAGAATCTATGCCCTCGTGGAACAGTCCTGGGACTAGTATATTAGGCTCGAAAAGCTCATTAGATGAAAATGTGTCAGATTTTCTTAGAAAATAGAGGCCAGTTCAGGGCACTCATTTAAAAATATTATTCCCCACCTTCTCAGAGGACCCTAATCCTTTCAGAAACTAAAAAAAAAAAAAAAGTAACCACTCTGTCAGAGTCCAAGTCAAGTGCCTCTGACAGCTTGTGGAATCTTTGCATTATTTTCCCATGATCAATGGATTGTTTTTAAAAATTCCTATTTGTTTTCCCTGGTCACTCCTTATATGGCCAGTCTTTGTCTTGAGACTAGGAGTAAGGAATTAGATATAATACCATTCCACAATTTCTAGGGGGCCTAATTCATCCCACTGCTTTTTCCTGATTCAGTAGCTTTACTGGGTTTCTAAATTTAACTTTTGCTCTCTTCTTGTATTTCTTCTGTTTCTTACTTCTATGGATATTACCAGAATTACGACAGGTTCTATAGTGGGAAGAGTGGTTAAAGGAGGGGGAAGTTAATGCTTACCTCATTCTTTCTTCCACATCCTCCTTGTCATGCTTTGTCAGGAAGGTAATTTCCCAAAGCTCTTGTTGGAGCCCTTTTATCACTGGGAGGAAGGAAAGGCTTTAAGGATTACTGTCCTTAAAAATCAGTAGAGACCTTCCTTCCAGGAACAGATAAAATGAAGTACCTCCTCACTGACCCAGTTCAGATTGGCATGGTGGTACCCCAGGCCTCCATGGCCTTGTCTGTCCTCAGCTTTGGTACAAAGCAGGGAAGGGAAGTCGCTGCTGTTCTCCACTCCACCTGCCTCCTCAACCCTTTCCCCAGTCTTGGCAGAGGAGAGTGTTTTAAGAATGACTGAGTTCCAAGTACCTAACATGCCATTGGGTGCCCTTGAGTTCTTCTGGGAAGGTGATGAGATCTCTGAAATAGGGAACTTCATGGAGTGTCTTATTTTTTTGTAAGCAAGGAACCAAGACCGTTTACTTTTCCAGAAAGGTGATTAGGTTTTCAGATCCATGAAGAGATAAAGTTTCCATTGGCTATATAGGCAAGCCTCAGAACATGAGCTCTGCCAGGTCATTTTGTATATATATGCTGTTCTTTCTTCAGTGTTCCATTGTTGAGCTGACTTACAGATTGATTGTTTTTCTAGTAAGGAAAGATAGGCTTGTACCAAGCCCCATACCCTTGACTGGTCTTGCCTTTTAGAGTAGCATCCATTTGCAAAACAGCTTGCCAGGGTTTGAGTGTGTGGAAGGGGTTTAATGGAGTGTGAATGTTATGGGTCCTTAAGGAAATCAAATTTGTGCCTCTTGTTTTTTGGCACCATGACACTTGAACCAGCTATGCCAGCTGAACCAGCCATACCACAAACTGACATAGCACTTGGAGATTATCATTTCCTCACCCTATTTTAGAAAAGAGAAAGCTGAGGAACAGCAGCTTCTCCAGGGGTATCCAGCAAATTAAGAGCAAGGCTAATAAAGGAATTAGCCCCACTGTCACTCACACCACTCTACCTACAGAGCTGCTTCCTTCATTTTTTTGATGAGTTGCATGCATATTATTCATTCATTCATGCAATGAATACTTAACGATTACTGCAGGCTAGACATAATATTGTGTATATAGTGGTGATAGTATTTTGAAGGAACAGAGCAGGGAATATGATACTAATTGAGAGACCGCCCTGAAGTCACTCTTACCTGAGTGTTCTTCATGATCCATATAGTCAAAGGACAGATTAAGTCATTTTATATGCTCAGATAAATGGTACTCCAGGCCTAGCCCTCAGTATGACTGGAGACCACTAGGAAAGATAGGGTCTGCAAGCTGAGAACCTCCCAGCCCACCCTGCCCTAGCATCCAAGAGATCACACAAGCAACCACTTATCATGAGGAACAAGTCCTGACCTAAACTGGAATGTGACATCTCCCTTCCTTAGAAAAACTGAGCTGAGGTTTGAAGTTGAGGATGTAGTTAAACTGTGTTACAAATCAGAAAGCCAGTACATTTCTTAGTTCCTTAGCTTAATCCCAAGAATAGACATTTCAGTGCTCCAAAGCCCCCTAGCCTTCTCTGTGAAAAACTGAGTTCTGGGGGAGCTGGAAGAAGAGGCCTGGTTGTTTAGAGTTCAAAGTAAAATCAGGAAGTAAGTAGGGTGGGGCAGGGTAGAAAAGCTCCTGTATATTTTTGGTTATTGTACTTATTTTTTTACATTGTGTGTATGTGTATACAGTCTTCTAACATGTCCCAACCCCCAGTTTGTAAGGTGGTATACAGTGTTTGTATAAGTACAGCTATTTTGTCATCTGCTGTGCAGGACTGCAATATCGTTTTCATTTCCCAGTAAAACTGGGTTGAGAATCATGTTAGATCAGGGAGCCATTTAGAAGATAGGACTTGTGACTTTTGAGGGGCAGGAAGTATCAGATCTCAATAAATAAAAAGATCTTGTTTCTTTTGTACATTGTTTTTACCTCCCAAATAGTTTCCCACCCTTGATCACTTTATCTGTACTGTGATCTAGAAAGGTAAAATATAGGTTATTAACCCCATTTTATACACAGGGAGCCAAACTTGCTGGCTGTCCTCCAAACATGGGCTGCATTTTTCTGTTTTTATGCTTTTATGTGTACTGTTTAATTCACCTGGAATTTCCTAATCCCCAAATCTATTTGTCATGATTCTAATCTTCCTTGAGGGCTTATCTAGGATTCTACTCGCTGCTGAAGGTTTTCTTCATTTCCTAACCAGTTGCATCTCTGTTTACTCATCTAACTTCCAAATTGGATTGGGACCCTTTTGAGGACAAAGACTGCAGAAAAAATAACAAAAACCTCACAATAGTAATAATCACCAACATCTGTTACACCCTTTCTTTGTGCCGATTCTCTGCTAAGTACTTTATTCTGCCATTCAGCTAGTCTCTACTCAGTGTGAAGTGACTACTCTATGGCAAGTACTGACCTAAAGATTGGACACTTTTCAGTATTTTAGTTATTTACATGATTTCAATTAATGCTCACAAAAAAAACAAAGTAGGTGTTACTAGCCCCATTTTACAGATGAGGAAACAGGCATAGAGTCCAGTTGATAAGTAAATTGCCCAAGGTCATGCATTGAATAGGTAGCAAAGCTGGAATTTGAACTCTACCATTCTGATTTCAGAAACCATGCTTGTCACCACTACATGTCAAATAATCTTCTTTCATCCCCAGCTCCTGCCTTAATATAAGAAGGGCCTGATAATTAATTCCATTAAATGAAGAAACTGAAATCTAGAGAAATTGGTATTCCAAAAGTCACAGGACTTGTTGGACTGAAAAACCTAGAATCTATGTCTTAAATTTCCAGCTCAGGTTATTTTCCTCTAGGCTGCCTTACTTTTTAAGGCATTTAGAAGATGGGGATGAACTAGCTATAAGCAGAGAATAAGGTATGTGAGGATGGGGGTGCCTGTCATGAAGAGGTCAAAGATATTCTTAGAAAATTCTCATAATATAGGAAGTTATGAATGCACAATGGCTCAAAGTGAAACAGAAAGCAAGTTGTATGATCCAAATACTTGTCAGGCTTTTGCTTTTCCCAACTTGTCTCGAACAGAATGTTCTTTGGATGAGAGCCCAGAAATCTCCAGCATTTCAGACAACCCTTTCTGAGCCTTATTCTTTCCCATATCTCATAACAGGACCCCCACCATGGAAGAGATAATAGAAGATCCCCCCACATCAGCTGTCATGCTGGATCACTGTCATTTCTCCCAGGTCATCTTTAACAGTGTGGAGAAGTTCTACATTCCTGGAGGGGATATCACATGCCATTATACCCTCACCCAGCATTTTATTCCCCGTCGAAAGGATTGGATTGGCATCTTTAGAGTAAGTGGTTAATTTAGTACCAAGTGACTGGGAACTAGAGGTAAATCTTCGTTACCTGAGTGTGTGACTGTCTGGATATTATAAGCATTTTGTACATTATGTCTGGCCAATTGTAAAATCCTAAACTAACTTCCCTAGCATTTCCCCTTCACACACCTATTTCTATGGGACTCAAATTCTAATTTTAGTAGCAAGCTAAAATGGCAGATCATACAATCCCCAAGTTGTATTATGCTTTCAATGACCAAATGCAAATTTTTAAAGATTATGTTTCTTTGAAATATTCATCTATGACTTGACTGGGATAGGTAGCCCCTTATATAATTTGTGTGACTTTAAACCTCACTCTCTTACTTAGTAGAAGTTTGTTCCTGACTAAGTGTGACTTGCTTGTTTGTAAAGATTTCCAAGGACAGAAAGTTTTATGAGTTTATGAGCAGTGACCTCTTCCAGTGTCTAATTACCTTGTCAGTTCAAGTACGGGAATGGCACTTTTATATTATAGTCAACTTACTCTGTACCTCCCTTTTGCCCCCATCTGTGTCTCTATCTGTCACATCTTATCACACATACACACACACACACACACACACAGAAACACACCATAATGATAAATCTTCCTATTATATCAAGAGACAGAAGAGAAAGGTCAAATTCAAGTAATTTACACTGCTGAGTCCCAACGCCAGTGACCTTTGTTTTGACACCTCAGTATGTCAATGTGCTTGTTTGCCAGTATTGTTCATCCTGAAATGAAACATCGTTCTTGACTGCACTATGAAGGAGGAGTGGGTGTTTATTCCCATGCTTCTTTGAGATACTTTTCCTTGATTGGAATGCAAAGCTAATAGATGGAGCGATGGAAGCTGATATTTAGCGGTACAGATAGTGGACAACCAGAGGGACACTGGCAGGTATCACGACAGCTCCTGAGACTGTAGGATATTGACTCACTAGGCTAGAAGAAGTTCTAACACAGAAAACTGACACACCAGAGGGTTTTCTTATTTGGAAAGATGGTAGTTGTTTTTTTCTTCCCCATATGTAGCAAGCTATCCAGTAAAATTTTATACAATCAACACTGTCCAGTAGAACTTTCTACAATGGAGCTATACCTTCACTGTCCAGTACAGTAGCCTCTGGCCACATGTGACTACTAGCATGCAGAATGTGGGCAGTGTGACTGAATAACTGGATTTTAAATTTTATTTAATTTTCATTGATTAAATAGCCTCATGTGACTAGAGTTTATCATCTTGGACAGTGCAGGTATAGACAATAAAAGAGGATGGATTCCAAAATTACTTAGTAGGCTTTGACATGTAATCTGCAACTTTTTTTTTCAACACAGTTGTATTTCTGTTTTTCTGAGACTGTATTCCCCAAGCACTTAGCAACTTTTTCCAGGAATGACTTTTTCATAAACCAAATGAAAATCTTACGCTTTTTAAAAACAAATAGTTGGAAGGAACAAAACAGCAGCCGAATCACAGAACCCAAGAGTGGATTAACAGTTACCGAAGGGGAAGGGACTGGGGAGGATGGGGCATTACGATTAGCATGTATAATGTGGGGAGAGGCACGGGGAGGGCTGTGCAACACAGAGAAGACAAGTAGTGACTCTACAGCATCTTACTACGCTGATGGACAGTGACTGTGATGGGGCTTGTGGGGGGGACTTAGTGAAGGGGGGAGCCTAGTAAACATAATGTTCCTCATGTAATTGTAGATTAATGATACAAAAAAAAAAAGTTAAAAACATTTTTTTAAAGATGCACCTGTATTTGGGATGTTTCATGCATTTCAGAGGTTTTGTCATACCAGTAAAGAAATCATGGTTAACCCAAAGAACGGCCTCTAGTGTCCATTGTTTGTAAAGCTATTGATTTGAACACCTATCCTGAAGCCTGAAAGATCTAAGACCAATAAAGAGAGAACACAAACTTTTTGAGATCATATGATGTGCTAGGTCTTTGATGACATGTGTGTATGCGTTCACGTTGGGGTGTGTGTGTTCTAATTTAATTCTCAGCACAGCAGCTCCCTGAGGTAAGTAGTAGTATCTTCTGTGCACAGATGAATAAAATGAATATACTCAAGAGGTGACTTTCTCAAGGTATCCCAGTGAGTAAGGATAAGCTAGCTGGACTCCCAAACCTCTGCTTTTTAACCTCTATTCTGCTGCATTCCTTTGAACAGCAGACAGTAAATTAGAGAATTAGAGTTGACTGTAAAGTTTTGTCTTTCATATCTCACTTCTAAAGCTCTCCCAGAGTTCTTTCACTGTAGTCTTACTCCTTATCACTCTAATGCTGGTACTTCTGGCACCAAGTAGGCATTCATGAAATGTCTTTGCATCTGCATTAGCTACATCTTCTCTATATGGTAGAAGCTACTGTTAAAGATAGAGTGTAAAGTGGTGGGCGTCGGCTTTCCTTCCTTCACTATATAATCCTGTGCTCCATACTCTCCTTTACCTGCACCCTTAAATGTCCCCGAGGTTTCAGAGAGGGGAAATACCATGCCATGAGAGACAGACTGGGACTAAGACTACTCAGGTGGAGGAGCCAGGGACAGAAATTGCCGGTGGCGAGGAGTTGTTTCCTTGTTCCAAGGCAGCAGTAATTCTTAGATCTTCTCAGCTGATATTTTGGTCACAGTGCATTAAGAAACTCCAGGATGTGAATGAAGACTCCATAAAATTCCTGCTTTCTGTACCACCACAGGCTGCAGTAGCTCTGAGACACTTACAGCAATGGGGTATTAATGAGACACTAAAACATGCCTTAGTATGTTCTGATGAGCTTTCAGTGTAGCCTTTTCAACCCTGCTCTGATTCCTTAATATATAAAAATAGAATTTATTTTTAGTTCTTTTTGTTCCCACTGAGCTCAGGCAGGGTGAAAATACAGCAGTAAATGTAATTTTGCTTCTCATTTGCTGACTGTTCTCCCCTTAAAGACACAATGGCTCCCTTTCTATTCTCTGGTATGTTCTTATCCTCCAGGTACGATCTGAGCCATCTTTTACCCTTTTTGTATCTGGTGAGATATTTGCCACTTAGCCAGCTTTCTGTTATGAGGTATATTTTACTTATATCTTATGACTTAACTGCATTCAGTACCTGGAAGAAGCCTTTATGACTACCAGATAGTTGTTATATTTATCACAAAAAACCTTCATTAAGCATGTATTAAGAAAAACACTGAAGAAAGAAAACTATGTGTACTGAACTTACTATCTGGTGCCTCATAATCTAAGAACCATCTGGCCTCTCCACCCCTAACACACTTATTATTCAGAAAACACATTTTTTTAAAGGCAATATGGTATAGTCAGGTAGGTGACAAGATTGAGTTGGACCAGGAAAGGATAAACCAATAGAGAGGGCAGATCAGATAAGAAGAAGTGCTTTCTGATTGAGAACTTCCAGGAACACTGTTGTAAGAAAATAGTGGATCAAAGTTCACAATCTTAGGACTCTTTTCCCCAGTCCCTCTCAGTTCCATGTCTGACTTGGAGACATAATTTTTGAACTCGTGTTTTAACTCAACTTCATTGGTGTTGAGTGGCCAGTTTTCATTTCCTTCTCTGACAGGTATTTTGGACTATGTGCATGTCAGTTTTTAGTCATATCAGACATTTTACCATATATAGTTTGTCAGAAGTCCAGAAGCAAGATTTGATCCATGGTGGGTGGACCTTGTCATAATGAACTTATTCTATTGTATTTTCATCAACATAAACAAATAAAAAGGAAGTGCATTTTTAAGAATACATAGCCCAAATAAGAATTTTCCCCCAAGCACTTTCAGATGCTGAATGAGAGCCTCTTGTCATTGCAGGTGGGATGGAAAACAACCCGTGAGTATTATACCTTCATGTGGGTTACTTTGCCCATTGACGAAAACACCGAATCAGCCAAACAGCAGGAAGTCGAATTTAAAGGTGAGAAAAATACCGAATTAAAGGTATTGAAGACAGTTAGCAGCCAAGACTAATTGATTCCCTTGAACTTGAGCTTTGTGAGGCAGATAAAAGACTTTCAGATTTTTAGTTTTCTGAATAGACCTTATTTTGGGTTAAAAATCATGTTGTGTTTTCAGCTTATTACTTGCCCAAAGATGATGAGTATTACCAATTCTGCTATGTGGATCAAGATGGTGTGGTCCGGGGAGCAAGTATCCCTTTCCAGTTCCTTCCTGAAAATGAGGAAGACATACTGGTTGTTACTACGCAGGTCTGTAAACATCTCATGTCAATCCATTCCTGCCATTAAGAGTTGTAATCCAAGGGTAGGGTAGAAGTTGAGTCAATAAGTCTTTGTTGAATATCTAACAGATACTCGAGTTGGGGGAAATTTATGCATTACTCTATCAGTAATGACTCAGGAACAGTAATAAGAATCATCTGTGTGATTTCTGCTATCTCTGAAACTTGTGTAACTCACTGGCATTCACTTATTCCCTTAACTTTTCCAGTTATTTAATTTTTGTCATCTGTACATCTTACCACCATAGTCAATTTCTGAGCTCCTTTGAGGAGATTCACACCAAATACTCTTCTGTGTAGCTCTCAGTTCTGACCTAGAGTCTGTCAGACATGACTGTCCGATTTACTCAGTTACTTAGCAGGAACACCTACTTACCATCCCACATTATGATAGGCACTAGGGATGCAGTCAAGGATCAGTTAAAACACTGTGCCCAGCTTCAAGGAGCTAAGCTTAGTAGGAGAAGAAGACCAGATACATTTTTTTGCCATTTTCTCTTCTAACCGCTTTGTAGCCTTCATTTATTTATCTTTCTTTCTTGGTGATGGCAGGCTCAATGCTGCAATTACACAGACATACCTCTCTTACCTCCTTCCCTGTATACTGAGATGCTGCTCCCACTTGGGGTACACAGATGTCACTACAGTGAGTGGAAATCAACCAGACCCTCACCATCCCAGCCGATTGGAATTTCCTGCTAGAGGGGAACTTGAATATCCATTCAGGTATAAAAGATCAAAAACAAGCTTGTGAAATGCTCTTTTGTAGGGTGAGGTGGAAGAGATTGAACAGCACAACAAGGAGCTTTGCAAAGAAAACCAGCAGCTGAAGGACAACTGTATCAGCCTCCAGAAGCAGAACTCAGACATGCAGGCTGAGCTCCAGAAGAAGCAGGTATGGCTGCTTGTTAAATGTGAACTTGGAGTATGAGACAGTGCCTCTTATGCAGCACCATTTTCTGTTTGCTTGTGATCTCACTCCCTTAATACTAATACTTTTGAATAGGCATGGTGTTAAAAGTTGTTATGGATTATTTTATTTAAACTTCATGGCAAACCTTTGGAATAGGCACTATTATTATGCCAATTTTGTAGATGAGTAGCCTGAGGCTTAGAGATGCATTAAGTAATCTTTTATACAGCTGATCAGTGATGGAGCCAGGATTCAGACCCAAGCAGTCTGACTGGTTCTTCCCACTGCCTATTATAATTTGAAATGCTTGCTTTGATTAGCTATAATACGGGCATCAAGAAAGAGAACAGAGTATTAAAGAAAGGTTGCAAATTATCCAGTCTTTGCCTCTTCATTTTGGAATCACCCTTCAAATCAGCAGGTGATGAATGAGAATTGATAATGCTAGGAGCCAAAGAAGAGAATCTTCTCTAAAGACTATAAAGTAATTATACTGAAATCATTAGCTTACAAGTTCCCAGAACACACAGACTTTGGCAGTTACCACCTATAAAGCCCTTGATCTATAGGTAAGGAAACTGAGGCCCCGAGGAGAAGGAAAGAGGTCTGGTTAGTGATCACACTGGATTAAGACTCATGTCTCTTGACTCCCAGACAGTGCTCTGTTCTTTACACCTTCCTGACACACAAGTGCCTGTGATATCCTCAGCCCTGGGCTGGTATAGAAGTGTGGATGGCAGGCCCAGGCTGTAGACCTGGCCTGTCCCAGGCAGTTAGATAATAAACAAAGGTGGCAGAGGTGTAACTCAAAATCCAGCTGTCGAGAATCAACGTCTGGCCAGGAGCTCTACAGCTTACCTATCAGGTACCTAGCCAAGGAATCAGAAGGTTTGGGTTCTTGGGTTAGCTCTCCTACATACTTGCTACCAGTTACTATAATGATAACAAAAGCCAATATTTATCCAGCACCTATTATGTGCCAGGCACTATAATTAAGCACATGGCTCCATTTAATCCCTACAACAACCCCCATCTCAGAGAGGTCAAGTGACTTGCTCAGGGTCACAGTCAGTTCATGGCTTTGGTATGAGCTGGGATTTGAACTCAAGATATTTTTTATTTTAAAAACCCATGGTTTTTTTTGTGTGTGTGTGTCCCCACAGGTATTTTATTTTATTATTTATTTATTTACTTTATTAAGGTATCATTGATATACAATCTTATGAAGGTTTCACATGAGCAACACTGTGGTTACAACATTCACCCATATTATTAAGTCCCCCCAACACACCCCAGTGCAGTCACTGTCCATCAGCACAGTAAGATGCTATAGAGTCACTACATGTCTTCTCTGTGCTATACTGCCTTTCCCATGTCCCCCCTCATTATGTGTGCTAATCATAATACCCCTTAATCCCCTTCTCCCTCCCTCCCCATCCCCTTCTCTTTGGTAACCACTAGTCTCTTGGAGTCTGTGAGTCTGCTGCTGTTTTGTTCCTTCAGTTTTGCTTTGTTGTTATACTCCACAAATGAGTAAAATCATTTGATACTTGTCTTTCTCCGCCTGGCTTATTTCACTCAGCATAATACCCTCTAGCTCCATCCGCATTGTTGCAAATGGTAGGATTTGTTTTCTTCTTATGGCTGAGTAATATTCCATTGTGTATATGTACCACATCTTCTTTATCAATTCATCTACTGATAGACACTTAGGTTGCTTCCATATCTTGGCTATTGTAAATAGTGCTGTGATAAACATAGGGGTGCATCTGTTTTTTTGAATCTGGGATCTTGTTTTCTTTGGGTAAATTCCTAGGAGTGGAATTTCTGGGTCAAATGGTATTTCTATCTTTAGTTTTTTGAGGAACCTCCATATTGCTTTCCACAATGGTTAAACTAATTTACATTCCCACCAGGAGTAGAGGAGGGTTCCCCTTTCTCTGCATCCTTGCCAGCATTTGTTGTTCCTTGTCTTTTGGATGTTGGTTATCCTAACTGGTGTGAGGTGATACCTCATTGTGGTTTTAATTTGCATTTCCCTGATAATTAGCAATGTGGAGCATCTTTTCATGTGCCTGTTGGCCATCTGAATTTCTTCTTTGGAGAAGTGTCTGTTCAGATCCTCTGCCCATTTTTTAATCAGATTATTTGCTTTTTGGGTGTTGAGGCATGTGAATTCTTTATGTATTTTGGACGTTAACCTCTTATCAGATACGTTGTTTACAAAGATAATTCTCCCATATTGTAGAATGCCTTTTTGTTTTGCTGATGGTGTCCTTTGCTATACAGAAGCTTTTTAGTTTGATGTAGTCCCATTTGTTCATTTTTGCTTTTGTTTCCTTTGCCCAAGGAGATTTATCCAGGAAAAAGTTGCTCATGTTTATATTCAAGAGATTTTTGCCTATGTTTTCTTCTAAGAGTTTTGTGGTTTCATGACTTACATTCTGGTCTTTGACCCATTTCGAGTTTACTTTTGTGTATGGAGTTGACAATAATCCAGTTTCATTCTCTCACATGTAGCGGTCCAGTTTGTCAACACAAGTTGTTGACGAGGCTGTCATTTCCCCATTGTATATCCACGGCTCTTTTATCATATATTAATTGGCCATGTATGTGTGGGTTTATATCTGGGCTGTTCCATTGATTTATGGGTCTATTCTTGTGCCAGTACCAAATTGTTTTGATTACTGTGGCTTTGTAGTAGAGCTTAAAGTTGGGGAGTGTAATCTCCCCAGCTTTATTCTTCCTTCTCAGCATTGCTTTGGCTGTTTGGGGTCTTTTGTGGTTCCATATGAATTTTAGAACTATTTGTTCCAGTTTATTGAAGAATGCTGTTGGTATTTTGATAGGGATTGCATTGAATATGTAGATTGCTTTGGGCAGGATGGCCATTTTGACAATATTAATTCTTCCTATCTATGAGCATGGGATGTATTTCCCTTTATTGGTGTCTTTAATTTCTCTCATGGGTGTCTTGTAGTTTTCAGGGTATAGGTCTTTCAAAAACCCATGTTTTTTTAGAGACAGGATCATACGGTGGTTAGAAACCTTAACTTTGGAGTCACACGGACTGTTCTATCACTTACTATTTAATGACTGGGAGAAATCTCTTTACATCACTGAGCCTCGGTTTCCCTTTTTAAAATGGGAATTTAATAATACCTGCTTTCTCAAAGAGATCCAATACACCCACGTCCATAACCACATTTTTTGCAAAGGCCAAAGGGTGGAGGCAGTCTGGGTCTACACCCAGGGTTAGATAGACATATAGACATGGTGTGACATGTACATACAATGGAATATTGTTCAGCTTTAAAAGGGAAGTTCTGACACATGCTGAAACATGGATGAACCTTTACTATATTATGCTGGGTAAAATGGGTCTGACACAAAGAGACCAATACCATATCATTCTACTTATGTGAGTTACCTTAGAGTAGTCAACATCATAGAGACAGGAAGTAGGATGGTAGTTGCCAGAAGCTGGAGTGGGTTGGGGGTGGAGGGAATGGGGAGTTAGTGTTTAAATAGTACAGGACCTCAGTTCTGCAAGATGAAAAGAGTTCTTTGAGTGGAGGGTGGTGGTGGCTGCACAACATTGTAGATGTACTTAGTGCCACTGAACTGTATGCCTAAAAATGGATAAGATGGTAAATTTTATGTTACATACATTTTACTGCAATATTTTAAAAATAAAAAATGATTTGAGAAAAGACTATAAAAATTTTTAAATCTTGAAGCTAAAAATAGGGAGTTGTTATTGACACACAAGGTTGGCTTCAATGCAGAGTGAAATTGGGAAAGAAAAAGCAAATGTCTAGGACCAGTGTGGCTGCCACTAGCCACATGTGGCTATTGAACACTTGAAATGTGGTGCATTGTGATGTGCTGTAAGCATAAAATGTATACCAGATTTTGGAGACTTAGTATGAAAGAAGTGTAATACTTAGTGCCACTGAACTGTATGCCTAAAAATGGATAAGATGGTAAATTTTATGTTACATACATTTTACTGCAATATTTTAAAAATAAAAAATGATTTGAGAAAAGACTATAAAAATTTTTAAATCTTGAAGCTAAAAATAGGGAGTTGTTATTGACACAAGGTTGGCTTCAATGCAGAGTGAAATTGGGAAAGAAAAAGCAAATGTCTAGGACCAGTGTGGCTGCCACTAGCCACATGTGGCTATTGAACACTTGAAATGTGGTGCATTGTGATGTGCTGTAAGCATAAAATGTATACCAGATTTTGGAGACTTAGTATGAAAGAAGTGTAAAATATTTCCTTTTTATCGTTTGCATGTTGAAATGGTATTTTAGCTCTATTGGATTAGATATGCTTTTAGTAAAATTAATTTTTTCTGTTTTTTTTCTACTTCTTTTTTAACATGGCTACCAAAAATTTTAAGTTATATATGTGGCTTTCATAAATTTATTGGACAGCACTGTTCTGGGATAAAAGGAACTTTATTTTGTCTGCAGTGCCAGAACAGTGTCTGGTGGGTAACAGACATTCATTCAACATTGGTGTGATGAATTAATGGATAGATATAAGTTCCATTGAAAGAGAAATTAAGGCAGATGCATTTTTAATTCAGAAAGAACATATTAAGAACATTTTAATATGGAAACCCCTTTATTTAGATATTTCATTCGCTGCTGTGTCGTGCTGTGCCTGACATACAATGAGTGCTCCATAAATATTTGTTGGCTGCCTGAAATACTAGAAACTGTCTTAGAAATGGTGTCCCTTTGACATTGAAATACTAGAAACTGTCTTAGAAATGGTGTCCCTTTGACATTTCAATCTACAGGAGGAGCTAGAAACCCTAAAGAACATTAATCAGAAGCTGGAACAGAAAGTCAGAGCACAGAAGGACTGTTGGGAGACAGAGCTGATTCAGTGAGTGTGATTCTTGGATGGGAGGAGCTGCTGCGTCATCGACACCCTTAGGGTGGGGGTCAGCTTAGCTTTCTAGGATTTGTTAGAAAACAGTCTTCCTTTGATGAGAATGATAGGTATGGTCTGCCCCTCTGAATCATGAGCTCTTTGATTGTAGATTAGAGAATCAGTATCAGAATACCAATAAGAAATTACCTGATTTCAAGTATTAATGTTAAGTATTGAATACTGCAGTGAGAGGTCCGGAAGCCAAAACAGGTCTGAAGAAGAGACTGTTGGATTTTTGGCTTGGAGCCAAGGCAGTCTTCAATCATTTAAGGCCTGGGGGATTTGACCTAGAATCAGCATATTTTTCACATAGTCATCTTCACCTCCACAGACTGAAAGAGCAAAACCAGAAGATGTCCTCAGAAAATGAGAAGACAAAAATCAGCGTAGATCAGCTTCAGGTAGGTGATGCCAGACCTTAGCCAAAGTCTATCACTTACCCTTGCTGCCACTCCTCTCTGGTGGCCCAGAAAAATGCATTTCATTGTAGTGAGTGCCTAGTGGTGTACCTTTCCACAGCATCAGACTAAAATTTCAAGAGTGTATGTTTTCTATTCTTGACTCCCCACACACCCTTTTTTAAAATAATTACAGTCCACAAGAAACTGAATAATTTGTTCAGTTTGTGTTTAGCATGAGCTCTTAAAATGGAACTGTCATCTATACCAACAGTCTTCAAACTTTTTTCTTTTAGCTACAAAAGCTTTTCAAGCAAAATCATACTTAAAAGTCTGAAACGTAAAGTAGATAGCAGCCGAACTGCTCTAGTCTGTGCCTTAAAGAGGGACTTTGAAGAGTGGTTTGTTGAATTTTACTCAGTTGAGTCTTAGATTCTTAGGGTGTAAAGGTCAAGCTGAAAAATGAAGATATTCTAAGGAATATTTGGCAGTTGGGAATTGCTAGGGGACACACATCTCATTACTGTACATTAAAAAGCATTGTTCCTATTTATTTTCCTTCTTTTATATCTTGGTTGTATTCACTATTTTTGTTCTAGGCACAGCTGTCAAATCAAGAGAAAGAAATGGAGAAGCTTGTCCAGGGGGATCAAGATAAGACAGAGCAGTTGGAGCATCTGAAAAAGGAAAATGGCCAGCTCTTACTCAGTTTAACTGAACAGGTAGCCATGGATGAAAATAACACTTTTAGGCATTTTTGAGAAAATATATACATTGTTTTTTCTTTTTTTAAATTTTATTTTGGTATCATTAATGTACAATTACATAAGCAACATTATGGTTACTAGACTCCCCCTATCATGAAGTCCCCACCACATACCCCATTACAGTCACTGTCCATCAGCGTAGTAAGATGCTATAGAATCACTACTTGTCTTCTCTGTGTTGTACTGCCTTCCCCATGACCCCCCCTACATTATGTGTGTTAATTGTAATGCCCCTTTTTCCCCTTTATCCCTCCCTTCCCACCCATCCTCCCCAGTACCTTTCCCTTTGGTAACTGTTAGTCCATTCCTGGGTTCTGTGAGTTACATTGTTCTTTCTTTACTCTGTCATATACCTGGATATCAATGGCTCTGAGAAGGATTTCAGAGGAAGCCGTCTGAGATGAGATATCTCATGGCTTTTCTCAGAAAGTAACAGGAGACAACTTGCTTCTCTGTCTTCTGCTTAGCTCAGTTGGCCCTTCATGCGTGCGTGCGTGCGTGCGTGCGTGTGTGTGTGTGTGTTCCCAGCAGTGATCCTGAAATTTGGTTTTGTGCAGAGAGAGCACCAGAAGAAGCTCGAGCAGACAGTGAAGGAGATGAAGCAGAAAGAAACGACCGCAGTGAAGCAGCAGCAGGAGTTAACGGCATGTCTGTCTTTGGATGGCTATGTGGGAGGGCGCCTAAAGAAAGGAGGGAATAGGGTCTGTTTCCAGGTGGTGGAAAGGATAAATAAGACAGATAAGGATAGCATTTGCCTCTAAACATTTAGCTCTACCCCACAGGGCAAAGAATATGTATTTACAGACTGTTTAGGAGAGGTGAGATTTCTATTGTGTTATGAGTGATAAAGGAATATTGAAAGGTAAACTGCAGGACAGTTAGTAAATACAACCTTGGGCTAAGAATCACACAGAATACCCCTCCCCACTTCTTCAAGAGTTATTGTAGGGGCAGACAAATTAATGATTATAAAGTTAAGCTCTACAATTAGGTAATATTATAGTAATCAAAACAAATTTTGTTATAATTCATATAATATGTTATTCTGAGCTATAGTAATATAGCAATGAAAGCTAATTGACTAATAATTTCTGAAGTACTTTGTTGGAAAAGAGGCCTTATGGTGATAACAGGTATCTAGGAGCCCCATTTTCTGAATTGATGTAAGGGATGAGAAATCCTGAAATCTGGAGGATGTCCAGCTATTGGGACTGTAACTCAAATCACATAGGCATCTTTCATTCATTCAATCATTATTCAATCAGTTATTGAGGACCATGTATATTTTAGCATGATATAATAAAGAGTAGAACAGAGTTTGAAAATCATCTCAGAGGTTAAGTTTAGCCCCAAAATTTATTAGGCCTAAATGGTGTTTCTTTAAAAAATTGAACTGGTTACTAACAACTAAAAATAGGAGTATTTCCCATTAAAAAAAATTTTATTTCCAGCTTATTGAAATACTAGAGATGCTGGCAACACTGAGCCCACATTCCCGCACAGCAGGAGTGTCTGGAGCTCAGGAGTGTCTGGAGCTGAGAGCTGCTGTACCTTTTAGATGGGCCGAGTGTCCCCCATTTGGCTGCAGGCTTCAACTGTTTCACTGCATTCAGCTCCTTCATTCAGTTACATTACTTGCTGCCACTATTGGCACATTTGAGTTTACAGCCTCTGAGATAGCAAAGAAACTATTGTTTTAAATAATCTATAACCATTCAAAGGTTTGAACCTCCTTGGGTCAGGCATGGGTTTCCTCAGTTTTCGCGACTGTTTTTCAAGACCCAGGGGCTCCCCAGCTGTCTGCTAGCAACTATTCCTCATGCATCCAAAAGGCCACCAACTGTGAGGACTATGTATCTCATACTTCAGGAGCCTAGGAACAAGAGAAGAGCAGTGGAGAAGCAGTTAGTACAAGAGGTGGAACGCCTAAAGGCAAAGGTAGAGGCCAGGAAAGCCTGTTGCTTAGAGGAGTACAGAGAGTGTCACTGACTCCACAAAGAGATCAGGCAACTCAGGGCTGCTGCACTGGTACGTGACAGAGATAAGGGCCCAGGAAGCAAGGGGTGTGAAGGTTCATGGTTCTTAAACCAAGCCCAGAGGATTGTACACCCTTGTCAAGGAAAAAAATTTATCTTTCTGCCAAAAAGAGGAGGGATGGAGTGTGTGACCAGAAACCAGCCTGGGGATCCCTGGAATCTAGCCCCCAGCTCAGCCATCCATGGGTCACAGGGAAGGTTTTTATAACCATTGAGCAGGTTTCTGTGCAGACTCAAGATAGTCCTTTATTTCTGCCTTTTGAGGAAGTGCAGCAGGACCTGAAGAGCCAGCAAGAGCCAGTGGGGATGGTGAGCCAGGAGCCCGCAGTCAGCCCTCTCGCAATTACTACCGCAGGGTCGGCTAGAAGCGCACAACAGTTTGGGCACCAGCATTCAAATAAAAAATCTTGGGGAAAAAAACCCCACAACTAGTAGGATTGGCTTAAGCATTTTTGTGAGGTACGCTTACGTGCATGTGTATGTACGCAGGTAGGAAGGAGATGGGAAGCACTGAAATATGCCTACAAGTTTTGGGCCTGTGAAATTAGTCAGATGAACCCATCACACTGGAGAGGTCGTATCTGTAACCTTGAATAAATGCCTTCTGGGCTCCTGCTTCCTCGGTGTAACCTGAGTCCAGATGCCCTTCTTCACACTAGAAGAGGGATTCACACCAACCTATCCCTGAATGCTGTATGCTGCATGAAGTGAGATGTTTATTCAAGACAAAGAGCATTGTGTTCATGGTTGGGTGGGGCCAAACAAGCTCCATTTATCCCCGATTCTGATCAGTCAGTCTGGAGGCTTTCCCCAAGCTTAGTTTTTCTCTCTCTGGTCACTTATACTCCCAGCTAAACCAAAGGAAACCAGCATCTCGATGCCAGCTCAGGTTTTCAGGCATTTTGTTAAGTCACTTTTCTGGAAGTCAGCATCTGTCCGTCATACCACCGTACTTTCCAGCCTAGTGTCCTTCTCCCCCACCTCCATCCCACCACTTTGGAAAGCCAGATTCTCTGCAGTCTTCATTTTATCCCCACCTTAGACCCAGATTACAATGTGTGATCCTAATCCTAATTTTGTTTAATTATTGACAGGACCAGAACTTGGACTTGTCAAAAAGGCTGAGTGAGAACAAGATTATATTTAATGCTCTGCAGAAAGAGAAAGAGACAATGGAAAAAGAAAATGATGTAAGTGTGTAAAAAGGTTAGAAAACCCCAAGGTTTTAAGAGGAAGGAGCAGGGTGACCTAGTGGTGATAAAATAAAAAATAAAAGAACCTTTCTGGGACAGTGGATGAGACAGTGACTCTTAAACAAAGAGTAAATTTACTCCCATTTTTTCCAAATCAACCACAAAATCCTTTCTTTGTTCTATAACTGAAACTTGTTTGGCATGGCAGTAGCCAACTTGAAAGGAACAGTCTTGAAGATCTAACATTATTTTTGCTTTTAACTTCATAGCTATTGTAAGTATTGTCTTTGGGAAGTAGTATCCCACATCACTTTTATACTAGCTGAGGGACCCATTTCCTTCAGCACAACTTTTTCCTTTTTTTTCTGCTGCCAAAACAGGAGCAGAAGTGGTGGTCTGTACCCGTGCTGGACCCATGGTAGGCTGCTAATAAACGCTCTGTATTCATTCGTTCATTCATCAGTTCATTCATTCATCTGGCCAATTTATCTTCTGCTGTGTGTTAAACACAAATTATTATTGACTGATTAAAGATGTTGGCAGCAAATACAGTGGTTGCCCTTGAAGTCATCCTCATGCTCTTACTGCAGGCATCAAAGAGCTAGAGTCTCTGCAGTCTGGCTGCTCCTTCTAGACCCACACCTCCAGCCATTCTTCGTCTGTACTCTCTGTAACCCTTCTGGGCTATGCCCCAAAGGGATCATTTCTACGTTTGATTCTATTATTTATGCCAGTGTGTTTCAGTATTGTAGAAGCCCTTTGGGTTCTCTTTCGGGTCTGTCGTTCTCATCCTCTTGACTGAGATAAGTGTACCTTGAGTTTAAAATCCCATTTTTCTAGGATGGTTTGATGAGGCATGGAGGTGGGGGAAGGAGTACACACACAATTTGCAACAAGAAGGAAAAGATCTAATATTTGGAAGCTCTGTTAAGAACTACAGTAAAGCCCTTTTAATATGTTAAGGGGCATTTATTAACTTTTTCTTTTTTCTAAGAACTTGAGATGCTGTCTGTGCCCTTGTAGTTTGTTCTCATTCCTTCTCTCCCTCCTTCCCTCTCCCTCTCTGTTGATGTATCAGTTTGATGGGATAAAACATGACGAAGGGAAAACCTGTATCAGGTGAATATTCACAGTGTGTATGAAAATTGTTCCAGGAAGAAGACTAAAAGGAACATTCTGCTCTCAATAATCTACAGCAGTTTCCATCTTAATATAGTCCTGCCATCCTCATATATCCACACAATTTTTGTACCCCCTTCAGTGGGTACTTCAAGATTTAAAATTCTTTTTCTCATTGATCTAAATAAAATTCGGTATATATTTAAGTTCAGAGGTTATGAACTCAGATCTTTGAAGTGTTGAGGCCACTGCCTCCCCTGTAAAGGATTACAGTTCCTCGTTTCTTGGGCTTCTCCAGTGCCGCATTGTTAATTGAAAATCCCTGTAATGTGCGTCCCCCAGCCAGTTCCTTGTTGCCATTCTTTGCTGTTGTCTTTTAATGTGTCTGTAAATACTCTATCCTTAGCTTTTGAAGAGGGATAACAGCAGATTGATGAGTTACATGGGTCTGGATTTTGACTCTCTGTCATTTCAAACACCTACTTCAAATCAAGGAGGTGCAGGACAAAACGCAGGACTTGCCTATGGAAACCCATATTCTGGTAAGAGAACTTGGCCATTTCAGCTGGAAGGCCCCTGCCTGCATCCCTTTCCCCCACTAAATTTTTTTTTGTCTGAGATGCTAATTAAGACCAGTCTCATTGTTCAGGCTTGCTGGGCAGAAGCTGAGGACTCAATAGAAAGATTGCCAGGCGAGAAGTGTTAATTGAGAAATAAATCTGAATCTAGAAGACGCAAATCAGATCATTCGCCTAGAGGCAGCAGACACAAATTGAGTCCCGTGGCTATATTCCAAATAAATAAATCAGAGAAATGTCTCTATGTAGAAGATATACACATACAAAGCTGAGGAAGCTAATTAAGGTTTGGAAATGGAAGCAGAAGAGGCAGGTCACGCTGCCCGGGAGTGGGCAGTGATGGCAGCCGCCCCGACAGCCTGACCCAGGGTAGCAGAAGTGGTCTCCACAAAGAGCCCTGGACGGTTTGGAGGGCAGGACAGGGAGATGAAGACCAGTTTTGTCCGTCGAGGACTGGGGGTCAAATGTCCTTGCCAAACAGGGAATTTTCCTCTTTTGTCTCCAAAAGGGATATGAGATCTCATTTGCTTTTTTGGGGAGACTGTTTAAAGTAGTCACTTTCTCTTAAGAAGCATTATCAGATCTTTGCAACAGACAAAGGTGCAAGTTTATTTTTTCTTTAAAAATTTTTTTTTTCCTCAAAAAAAAAATATTTTTAAGCATTCCGTTTGAAAAATTACTGCATGGATTCAGTCTTAAATTCTATTCACACACTGTTGCCTTGTTAAATCGTTACTGTTTTTATTAAAATTTCACTTTCCCCACACTGAAAAGAGGTTTTTTTGGGTTTTCCTGATTATATAACAAATACATGGCTTCATTATTTTTTCCTTCTTTCCCTTTATCACTGACCTAGATCCCTCTGTCAGAAGTAAATGGTATATATGAGAGAGAAAGAGTCAGAGACAGTGGGGTGAAAGGCAACAATGACCCTTACAGAAAACAGCTGCTAGAATGCGGTTGAAGAATCCAGAGATGTTATTTTTTCATTTTTCATCTTTTTTCTTACCCTCAGGTATCCAGGAAAGTTCCGCCCCCAGCCTGGTAAGTACTTGATTCGTTAAATTGCCCACAGCATATCCTTGAAAATTTCCATTCCTGCTCCAGTTAATGGGAGAACCGTAAGGCGACTGGTTCATTATTTTGAGAACTCCAGAAGTCAGCTGGATCTATTTGGTCAGTGCACAAAGCGCAGTGACCCTGTTGAGGTGGGGAGAAGTTCGCCCATCAGCCTTCTGCTCAGTGCCTCCACCTGTGAGTTGAATTTGGTAGCAGGACTAGGAAGGAGATGTGAACTAGGCAGCTACCCAAACAAGGTCTGCCGAGTGCCACTTGCAGGTTGGAAGTTATTTGACTGCATCAGCAATATTAAACTGGGATTAGAGAAAGCCCCAGGGAGTATATCCAAGTGTGAATCTGTCCACTCATCCTCTATTTCTTAAGAACTTACAGCGTGCCAAGCATTATGCCAGGTGATGAAGGCTTAGTAGAAAATCAGATGTGGCCTCTGCCACATATAGCTTACATTTGCTTTTTGTTGTTTGTTTTATTGGAGTATAGTTGATATACAATATTAAGCTTACATTTGTACTCACCTCTTTGCCGTTCCTCTCAGCTTTCCATCAAGAAATGCCCCACCTGCAAGTCAGACTTTGCTGATGACATTTTTGATCACACCTTGGAGCAGCAGCATGTGCAGACCCTTTGTTTGAATTGTCCAGTTTGTTACAAGACCTTCCCAGCAAAAGAGAAGCAGATCTTTGAAGACCATGTGTTCTGTCACACTCTATAAGTGTCCCAGCCTCATGGGTCTTTATTGCACATAGATTTTATAAAGTAGAGCCTATAACTTCTACTATGAGGTATGACCCAAGATCCTCCCTAACCTGAGATTACTAGGGATTTAGTCTTGCTACCCTAAAGTTGGAGTCACGTTGTTTATCTGAAGAATAGTGTTAAGGGCTGTTAGTTCCATTCCTGTGGGTTCCTACCTTTTAAATAATAACTCTAGCGGTGTCAGCCTCTCGCCTATGGTGCCCATTCTTCCGAGGGTCCCCAGTACGAGGACCCTGGGATGGAACAACAGGCCTAACTTGAGTACTAAGTGATTTGTTTTCCAAGTTGTCCCACTGCCTTTCAAGGGCAGGCCTTGAGTGTATTGTTACTCAGTTCTCAGGCCTAACCCTGGGGCTGGAGACAGACCAGAAATAGAGAACTGCCGCCTCAGGCCTCTGGCCCACTGACTGCATTAGGCTACCAAACGGCGTGGCAGAGAGCCCAGACACCCCGTTTGGACACCGGGGTTTTCTCATCTTGGTTTCTCAGCTTGCAACACAAGCATCTCATTCCTGAACTGTGAGGCGAAATATTATTTCTATTACAGAAACCCTTTTTTCTCTCTGGTATTCTCTAATTGGCATTTTCTACTCTTTGATCTTTTCAATGCATGTAACTTTTATTGTTGTAAGTCCTTTCTTAGTGGTTAGTAGGAGTTGTTAGAAACTATGGTTTGCAACTTTCTGAGCAGGTGAGTTTGAATATGGATAAGTCAGAATAATGAGAACTATTGTTCATCTCTTTAAGACTAAAAATAAACGAGTCCTCTACTTCAGGGACTTTGGCAATTTAAAATAAATCTTGAGTTTATGGTCTTTTATGTTGAAGTTTATTGGAAAAGTATAGTCAAAGGATTGTGGGAATTTGAGACCCCACCAGTGATTTCTCTTTGCCTGTCTTCACTAGTCATCAAGAGAGTGTCCTGACTGTTATCTTGAGGTGGAGAGGAAGGTGCCAAAGCATTAATTTGAGAAATCAGGAGTGCTGACTTCTTGCTCTTAACTTTCCATGCAGTTTTTGAAAGGGGGCAGTGTAGATTTTGGCCCTCTTTGTGAACTAAATTCGGTTCCCTTCATCCAGATTTGCCTAATTGAGCTCTAAGAAAGCAGTTCCATTTTCTTTCCCCCGCAGCGACTGAACAAATGGAAATGACTCTCAGGCAGCCAACCAGCTGGTCACTATATAGACTTTTACAAAAACATTTGAATGATGTGAAACATGATGTCATAAAGAAGACTGAGCCAGCCATAGCTCTGCATTCCTTCTGGGGTTTTCCCTGATGTGATGGAGTTAATGCCCTCAACTAACTATACCAGCCTAGTCACAGCTCCTCGCCTTTATTTCTCCTTTGATAAAATGAAGATGAAGCTATATGACTACTACTCCTGTATCACCACTTCAGAAAGATGTTCTTGGACTTACCAGCCTTTTGCCCCTTAAGAATCAGATGTGACGTTACGACTGACTGTAATGGAAATGTAACGGGGAGATGGTAATGCAGTTTTCCCAGCAGATCCTCTTTCTCCCTGCAAAATTTCTGTTTCTCCCCAGATAGTTCCAGTGAAGAATTGCACTTTCATTTATTTTGTCCTAGTCAGCTCTTAATTAAGCACATGAATGGAGGGGAGCAGCAGTGCACATAATCCAAATCAGTGAATACCATTTTCTGGTGAATTACCCACCCCTCTGCCCCTGCTACCCTGAGGGTTACCATGATTATCAACAACGGCAGGAACCCTTCCGCAGCCTTGGTAAAAAAACGAGGTGTTAATGATCCTTTTTGCTGGATGTAAAGCAAAGTATCTTTAACCACTGTTCATTATCCCCAGCTGCTCTTACCAAGGCTTTGAAAGGGAAACTATGCTCCATACACTCCTCACCCCAGCCTTTCCCCCTCTATGTCCCTTGTAGCCACACATTGTGTAGTTTAAAGTACCTGCAAAAAATACCAGGAAGTTATGAGAGCAAAGAGTATTTATTTCTAAATTGGATCTTAGAATCTTTGTGCTTTTTATGGCAATAAGTTCTTCCTTTCCAATTCATATTATATTGGTCTAATATTAAAATTTTTTGCATTGCTGTAGCACAGCTAGTTGGGCAATGGGCAAGAACTCACCCTGGCACATGTGAGTATGGCAGAGTGGTGAAGGAAAGCTAACCTCACATCAGAAAAGGCAGAGTTGGCGAGATACTCGATAAGCCTAGGCCCTGAAGAACACCTGTAGCTTCAGCCCTTCTCCCTGTTCATGCTAAAAATTGAGATGGATCCCTGGATATTTAAATATTCTCCTATGAGCTGAGTAATTTTCTGCAGCAGCCCTGGCTTGCACTGACCTAAGCATATGCCAGTCTGGTCTCCTAGCAACAAATGTTAATGAGCTGATGGGCTGGGCTGAGAGATGCAGTCCACTACCTGGGAAAAAAAGCAAAATGGACTCTACATAGAGATCAAACCCAAAGAGATACTCTCCTAATTCCCCTGAGTTAACCAAGAATAGGCCACAAGCTCAGACCCAGTGCTCTCTTTAGTTGATCTCATATAAATATTAAAATAGCATCCTTACATGCATGTAGTGTTTTATAGTTAGAATGTATTTCCTGTATTCCATGTGTACTTTTCAATAATCTCTGAAATAGACAGCTATTAACTCCCATTTTTATCAGTGAATAAATTGAAACACGGACAAATAACTTGCTAAATGTGGAAACAACCCAAATGTTCATCAATTGATAAATAGGTAAATTAAAACAATATGGTATGTACATAGAATACTATTTGGGATATTATTTGACAATAAAAAGGAATGAAGTACTGACATGTCACAATATGGATGAACCTTGAAAACATGATAAGCAAAAGAAGCCAGTCCCTACATATTCTATAATTCCACTTACTATGAAATGTCCAGAATAGGCAAACCCAGGGAAACAAAATAGATTATTGTTTTCCTAAGGCTGGAGGTTGGGGGAAATGAAGAATGACTGCTAATTGGGTGTGGAGTTTCTTTTTGGGGGTAAAGAAAATGTTCTAAAATCTATTGGGGAGATGGTTATAAACCATTGAATTATACACTCTAAATGGGCAAATTGTATGCCATGTGATTTCTATCTCAAGTTGTTTTATTCTTAAAAGTTAAATAACTTGCTACGGTCATACATTGGCTCACAATAGGATGTCTCAAGTACAGTGCAACAATGTTGAGTTTGGTTAGAGTACAGGTGTCTCAGGACGTCCCATGGCCACACAGTGTTGGGTTCTCCCTGTGTCTTGGGCTGCAGCTTCCATGGTGATGAAATCAAGATTAACCGGTCAGGCAATTAATGGTGGCCCACCCTTTGGCAGCAGCAGTAGTGGCCCCTGGGAATAGCTAGTCCATGGAGATGAATGTACCCAATAAAGTTGGGGGCCAAGTGTCACCAGCCCACAAATCCCGGTAATCATATTAAGGGCTCTGCTCTGCCTAATGTTACTACTTTCTTCCTGTGGAAAGAAAGAATATTACACTGTGGAGACTAAGTCTACTGTTTACTGAGGCAATCAGTCTTTATTGAGTACCACAGTGTGCATGGAGCTAGTATAGTGCCAGGATTTTAAAAATATAAGAGAAATTCTTCCCGTGGAGGATCCACAGGATCAACGAAGATATTCTCTCTGCCGTCAAACTCTCAGACTTTTGGGGAGAGTCTCAGGTTTCAGGGGAATCCTAACCAGATCGGTGAAAGAGATAACCACTTGCAAAAGCAATTTAATATTACAAAGATAAAGCCATTTTGCAAACTGAAGACCTAAGGGCTGTGGACCTGAGTGTTAATTAAGATGTGATCAAAGCCTAAGTTAACATGTCTTATAAGAGTGTGCTTTTGAAGAGGTTAAGAGACAGAAATAGCAGACAAAAATGGGGATTGTGTCCTGAGGGTCTCTACAAAAGGGGAGGGAGAAGTGAGGACCAGAACCTGGCCCAGAATGCGAAGGACTTTTAAGCAAAAGTATTAGAATAGAAAAAAGAAACCTGTTTCTATCCTCAAAGCCTACCATCTACCTAGGTCACATCTAACAAGCTCATTTGAGCTCAGAAGGGACTGGAGAGGGTGGGGAGGAACATGGTGGAAACAGGGATTTAGGAATGTCTCAGAATCCCAGGCATCTGGAGGTCGAGGCAGCACAGAGACGTCCTCACTGCCATCTCCCACCCTGCTCCTCTCTGATTCAGCACTCCCCTTTCGCTCTATAGGCTGGCTCTGCCTCTGGACCACGTGATGAAAAATGGTTGCTGCCTACAGCTCTGGGTCTTTAAGCTACTGTATTTAAGAAAAACAAAAAATAAAACTGCAACAGGTTTGGAAAGGATGGTAATCTCTCAGTCCAATTATAGATTCCCTGAAGCAGGGACTCGGCCCCACAGGGTGAGCCAGCACTTGCTCCTGTTCAACAGTGGCCAGTGTGTGGTCGCTGCATCAGCATGGCTCCTGGAACTCCCTGTGAGGATGGGGAAGACCAGGTGAGGGGTGGGGACGAGGACATGAGAAAGGAAGAAAGAGGTGTGAGCAGAGCATCTAACAAATCATTGCAATAGTAGGCAACAAATGCTGGGGACAGGAGGGCGACATTGGAAGTCGCCTCTTCTCAGTGTATGTTCTCTCTGTTGTCTCTAAAGGACACTTGTCATTGGATTTAAGACCCACCTGGACAATCCTAGATAAACCCCTCTCAAGATCCTTAATCACATCTTTTGTCATTAAGGCAATATTCTGTAGCTGTTTAAGGTAATATTCACAGGTTCTGGGAATTAAGACATGGACATCTTAATGGGGGACCACCATTCAACCCACTACAGAGAGGTGGGGAAGAGTAGATAATTACTAGGATTCTGACCCAGACCACCAGGATAAATAGTACAGAAGGAAGGGGAGCTTTCAGGGAGGGAAGTTAAGCTTTAAGCATGTTGAATCTGAGGGATTTGTAGGGATAGTCAGTAGGCAATAGGAGAAATGTTTCAACAAAGAGCTGGGCTGGAGCTGCAAGTTGTTAATACTGTAGGGCCGCAGAGCTAAAACCATGGGAGTGAATGAGCTAACCTGGATAGAGTAGATAGGGGAATTGAGGACAGACCCTGAGTAGCATCAACTAGTGGTTAGGCAGCCATTCACAAAGGGAAGAAAAGCAGGAGAAGAGCAGCAGCCTGGAAACTTGGCGAGAAAACAGCTTCAGAAAATGAGTTCAATAGTGTCAAATACTAGGAGGATAGGGCTGGAAAGAAATCTCTGATTTTAGGACCTTAAAGTTGACATGCAAGTGCCCTTGTTTGCTCTCCTTTTAAAAACCAGTATAGGCTCACTAAAGAACATTTGAAATGCATAATTAGAAAATTATAGTTCCATTAAGCAAACAGTCACTATTAATATTTCCATCCAGTTTTTCTATGTACAGGTGAACTAAAAAAAAAATGGTCGTTGAATTATTTATGTGTTTGTGTACATGTATTCCTGTAGACACCCACCTTGATTTCCAAGAAGGCACCCTTCTCTAAATCCTCAGGTAGGGAGACTGAGTTCTGGATCCTGGGGAGGCTGCCCGGGACCTGTGGGCCTCCAGGCCTGGGGCACTTCCCTGCACCTCCTCCCATGGAAGTTGCTGCACCAGTTACGCCTGGGCAAACACCAGTCTCTCTTCCCTGGGTTAATATTTCACATCTGTTGTCAGAGTCTGATCCAGCTTCACCATGTGCACCCTGGGATGGTGATGTTCTCTGCCCTGCCACCTCTAACCCTCATGGTATCTGCCCCGAAAAAGAGGTTCTC